ACCAACTGTAAAACATACACAGATATATAAATTAGGTAAGTACATATTTAATTATTGAAAGCTATATTTTCCTGGACTCATTACAACAATAAAGAACGTGTGCTTTAAAGCAACACATTTTGTAATAAGCCCAAAATTGTTAGTTTCATTTGACTTTTAACTGCTCTTTGTACTAAGGCTGCCTGGGCCGTATTCTTTTTCCCCAGATTACACTGCGCTAGAACCTGGTACTGTGCGTTAGTACACTGCAATTGTTTCACAAAGTTAGTTCAAAGTCATATTTGCCCTGGTGATTCAAAAGTCAAAGATAGCATTCTTATTAAAAAAAAAAATCAAAGAATCATTTGAATTTAAGTTTAATAAACAATACCACCTATATATACTCTCATATATAAATGCATTAATAATCAATCCTATGAGGTTTTCGCTTTTCATATCACAATGGTTATTAAAGATAAAAATAACTTTGATGTACATGTACCATATATGGATATATACAATCTACACACTGATGCAGCTACATACATACAACTATAAATACCCATAAATACAACACAGGCAGGTTACAGAAAGCATTTTCCTTATGTCTTGCATACTATCTGTATGGATCTTCTCCAAAAGCCTGCAATGCCACAGATATACACAGAAATTACAAAAAGACATAAATTCAGAAAGACTTAAGGAACCCTATTACGTATACAATTACTTTAACTTGCAATAGTTTCTTGCTGCTGCATTCAAGTTAAACTGTCATGCAGATTCAAGTATTTTACTGACATTCGCTTTATGAAGACATTCTTTCTGCATGCAAGGGGCCAATTATTGTCCTAAGAAGAAGGTTGCCCACTTGGGTTTTGGACTTTAGTCATCCTTTTAAGAGTGAGAGGTTACATAAAAAATGGAATCTGAGGAGAAGCAGTAACAAAATACCTCTAACATTTGTTGGGGTTATTTTGTGGTAATCCATTGGTCTCCCCAAGTCTTCTCGGTGGCTTGGTGATATTAAAACACATCTGTTGTACTATTACAACTCAGCAGTCTGGACTGGGAGAAGAGATGGTCAGAAAGCTTTGAAGCACACGTTAGACCCAGAGCCTTACCTGCCTCTCATGGTAACTAATCTTTTTCTGCTGCCAGAGTAACTTAGAATGTTCTACAAGAAAAGAAGATGCTATTTAAATCCTAGTAACACTACTCTTTGAACCAGTTCTAGAACTCTACTTAGGTTCTTTGTTTTAAAGCACTAGTTTTATCGTTGGGAAAAAAAAAAAAAAGTCATTTGAAAGGTGAAGAGACTAGTTCAGTGATAAAGGTAACTAGGTACATAAAAAGCAAAACTACCTGGCTAATAAATTTCCTGTAAATTCAGAAATAATAAAACATAACTGATGACTACAAAGAAAAATGCCACCTTAAAAAAATATATATATGCCAAATTCCACCAGCAACTAACCTAATCCATGAAGATGTTGACAGTAAGACAATAGTTTATGATTAGGTAAAAAGGCAGAGAGGATGGGCCAAAGCAGGCCCTACCTAGGAACGTCTTTCCCAGATCTTTAAGTGCTATAATAAGCAATGGGCTAAGAGTAGGAGAAAACTGGGTCCATTGTGCTTGGTCAGCAAAAGACTCATGGAAATTCTACCCCAACTACAGGAGTTATGGGGTCTGGCCACAAAGTAAAATACAAACCTAAGAACTTTAGTTTGGCCTTACAGAAAATTAACCAGATCTTCCTCTTACAGAATGAATTCCATCATGACACTTCTGACCGGCAAACAGTCCTCATCCTCTGGATTACAATAACAGTCTAAGAAAACAAAGAGGGTCTAGCAAATGGCCTAGCTTCTTCCTAGACTCGACCTCAGAGCAACAGAAAAGATCACGTACGTAGAAGCTATCTTTCTACCAGAGAACTCTCCAATATGTTGATTTTTACTGAGATTAGAATGTACAGCTGTATTGCTTGGTTCAATTGCTTCATTCAATTAACAAAAAACTATTATTTTTTTAAAAAGTTCACCTAAAATAATACCTATCACCTAGCAACAACATAAGGAGCTTACCTACTAATCTGTAGGGAGTCTGATAGTTAACAAGGGATTCCTGGCATTTCTGAAAAAGCGAGCATGCGAGGTCAGGAACAAACGCTGAAACATTCCCACACAGTTTCTATACGCCACTGCTATGGTCAAATTCTGCAAAAGGGCTAACACCAAGGCCTTGTGATAAAAGCAATAAAAATTAATACTAAATGCATTTCTGTTAAAAGGAATAACAATTTACCACATGGTGAGAAATCCCAAGTCTCCTGGGCACTGAGGTAGGGGTGAGGGATGGTATTGGGGAGAGGGTTGGGAGGTGGTGTACCTTCAGAAGGAAAGGAGGAGTAGAACTCCCCTGTACCGTGACTGGGCAGCAGTCTGGGAACAACTGTGAGTGGAAATTCCTTCAGGTTCTTGGACTAGATGCTAGAGGAAAGAAATAACAGGAAATACGGCTGGCTCAGGGCCAGACTCTAGTCCGATCATGGAAGCCTGTTTCCTCACACAGGAGAATCTCTTTGCTGTATATACTCCCAACAGGCAATGGCCTTCCAGAGACATCATCATGGCTGAGCTGCTCTTTACCCAACTCCTAAAGAGACAACAGGGCACTCTGGGAATCTTGGCTCACAAAAGAAACCTTTAAAAGTTAACATATGCCAACACAGCAGCTTCTAAAGGCCCCTTCTTAATCTAATTATCTATTAGCATACCCAGGAGATAACATTAGTGAGGAATATAACAAGAATAATGCTATAGTGGAGCTAATGCTAATCACGTATTTCAGGATTACTCTAAATGTCAGAAATACTGTAGCAAGGTACCATTCAATGTATATTATATAAGTTAAATGTACATACACATTCTATACACACACACACACACACTATAGGCAAATACATTCAAGCCAGTCAGGGATATATTTTAAATTACTCAATTATTGAAGCTCATAGATGACATAGTCTAGGTACCTCTCTCCCCTCTGCTTAAGATAAATATGTGGGCAGAAAACAAACAGGTTGATCTTTCAGATTCAAGAATGGATGACTTTTTACGGAAACTTTAGAACTAGTCAGAAACTACAAACATGAATCGGGTACATGGGCCATACTGGTAGCTACCTTGTCTGTTTCCTAGTTTTGAAACATAGTCATTGCCACTATCTCAATAAGATAGAGGACCACAGTGAGTTTTTAAAATGTGTGGCAAAATACCCATCACAAAACAAGCAGCTACAACCTTAGAGAGAGGGGCTACTCTCCTCTGGGCACCAAGCAAATATGGGCATTTACATAGGTGAAGGAAGTATTAATAAATAGTCCTATAACAACTAACTGCTGCTACATCATAACAATAAACTTTCCCACTTTAGCAACTACCGTGGTTTGACAGCAGGTTTTTGCTAATTCACTGGAAACCATGCTATTTACCCAGAGTAGTTGATTCTTTGGTCAACGTACCTTCAACTAAGAAACTGAGTAGGATTTAGAGCAAATTTCTGTAGGCAAGAGTCTTCAAAGTGATTCCCTTAGCTCTGAAGTTGTGTCATTTGGGAAATTACAGCTTTAGGATTATAGAATTTCAAGGTTTGGGTATCAGAAAGTTCTATGCTACAATGGGCTTAACTATTACTCCCTACTTTTCCTCTACAAGAAAACGTTGTGTGTATCACTCTAGAATTTCACTGGAATAATAAGCTCATGACTATAAGGTTACAAGAACTATTTGAGTAGACAGAAATAAGTGAATTAGAGAGGTATAGCATTTACTTTTAGTGAGAGTTCAGTAGCAGAATGAAATAGCTATCTATGAGTCTGATAGATAAAGTAACTACATGTACAACCAGCAAATTAATCAGTTTCCCAACCACAGTGAATTCAGACTATTCGTTACTTAAAAGGAGCCTTTTGGCATACTGGCTAAGCAGTATTCTATTGCTGAACAGCCACAGCTATTCTGACCCCTCATCCATTCCCTTATTTTGTCTTAAGAAAGACCCCACTATTCTTACAATCTGGAGATAACCCCATAACTATCTATAGAAAGAGTAAAAGTGAACCTATTCCTGATGTGATGGTATTTGATGATAGAGATGAACCTGGATTCCTAGTTTTGACAATGTGGGAGTGAGGTAACAATTTCTTGCAGACTAAACACATTCCTTCTTCTGCAGCTCCCCAAGAGCCGATTATTGCCACTCTCCTTGAGAAAACAAAAGTAATTTGGTGCCAATATTCCTCAACTTCCATTGGCAAAAAGACTCTACTTCCTCTTTCCCTTGCTTGGCAGAAATGGATTCCACATTTCAAGCAAGCTCCTTCACTTCCCCAAGTTCTCCAGCCTGTGATCTTCACACTGCCTTTCCCTGCGTCCAGCAGGACAGACATCAGTAATAAATGCTGTGTTGCACGCACAGCTGCGTCACATTGGGAAATCTTGGTTCCCAGCATTGTGACTTTAGTTGAACTTCTGTGAGTGGTCAATTCCACTTCTGTGACTGGGCATGATTTCACATACAAAGGCTTATATTAACTCTGGCTAGAATTTACTATGCTACAAAGTTTGTCCAGTTAAATCTTCTTCATGGATTAAATTTAACCTTTAAGGAAAAAAAAGTGTAACAGTTGATTTGAGAAACTAAAAAATAATTGAGCAGAGTGCAAACAAGAGAAAAACCAAAGGAGAGGGAGGGAGATACATAATTCATTCTGAAATCATGATACCCTCCCCCATCACAAAAAAGGTGCATTAGTTATCAAGTAGCAAAAATTGTTCAAAGCAAAGAAATCAAGAGCAGAGGGACATCTGTACAGAAATTAACAGAAATATACAATAGAAAATGTTACTAATGCACCATTTCGTCACACTTTTTTTTTTAATATACCCACAGATGATCAGATGTTGAAAACCCCTATTGTGCTCCATGACCAGCGCTTCCTGGCCACAGGTAGATTCTAAGTAACCTTCTGCTTAATGCTTGGTGCTTCTGGTCGGTGATCCTTCCTCTCTGACACGTTACGCTTGATCTTGGCAGTGACTGGAGATGAATCTGGATTCAATGAAGGACTCGAATGTGACTTCTTCAGTCCAGCTCCTTCATTTTCATTGCTACTCAGGAGCTCCTTGCCGCCTCCTTTTAGAATGCCAACATAAATGTCATAACGAGTTTTCTGGAGAGAGAAAGTTGGAGAAGAATCAAGTCAATGCAGGCTTCATAAAGGCATATGTGGATCACACCTTGTGTGTTAACAACCCTGGTGAGTGTGATGGGCTGCTGGAGATTCAACTTCATTCCCCAAATTGACAAATTACTTAGGTCCTTACTGGCTACATGACAGGTAGCAGTTATTGGATGGACTTGGACTGGTTTACTAATGGACTGAATCATTTAAATAAGCAATTCAGTTAGAATCCTCACTTGTTCTGCATTCAGAAGGGATGTAACCTAGGAATTACTGGCAAAGAAGGGTCTAAGTTGGAGGAGGTGTAACCCCCTGGTTTGAGAGTCTGGGTGGCTTTGAGGGCTCAGTGCTACTACACTCTTAAGCTCACCCATTTCCTCTAGGTCTCATGTGAGCCTGGACAGGATTACTTACTCTTTGCTACTTCCGGCAGTTCTACAATGACTGAGTATGAGAGATCATTTAGGATGCAAGTACTCACGCCCCAGTCCTCTACAGATCACAGCACTTCTAGGAACTGCTCCAGGTTTCTCCACTAGCGACTGCCCAGTTTCAGTGCCTTTCTCATTCAACAAAACTAATTTCACCATCAAGTACTTACTGAGTACCTAGTATGTTTCGAATATCTTAATTGAGAAGAACATACAGACAGTGTGTTTTTCTCATTTCCTCTCTATTCCTATTAGGAACCACAAAAAACAACAACAACAACAAAAAAACCCAGTCCCAATCTCTTAAAGAATTATTGTAAATATTGAAAACTAGAGATGGGCTTCAGATTATTTGATTAGAGAGACACAGACGCTTAACAAGTCCTGGTGTGGCGCTTGTGGGTTAATGCATCAGACTGCAAAGCCATTTGCACTGCAGGGTCGGTGGTTCAAGCTCACCGGCTGCTCCTCAGAAACTCTATATATATAGGGTTGCTATGGATTGAAACTGACTTGACAGCACTTAACAGTCAAAATTAACCTTTCACTACACTGCTTGAACTGCAAGGTTGGTGGTTCAATCTCACCAGCTGCTCCTCAGAAACCCTATACAGTGTCACTATGGGTCAGAACTAACTTGACAGCACTTAACAAAAACAATCTTGACTCAAGAGTCCATGCCCTTAAACTAAACTATAATACAGTATCAGTATAGGAAATACAGTGAAATATATATATATGTCTGTATTTTTTTCTACATATGAAAATAAACATGCATTTTAAGAGGCCTACAATGGCCAACGGCCACCATTTGTCTGTCATACTGTGGTGGCTTGTAAGATGCTGTGATTCTGAAAGCTATGCCACTGGTATTTTAAATACCAGCAGGGTCACCTATGGTGGACAAGTTTCAGATGAGCTTCCAGACAAAGACAGACTAGGGAGAAAGAGTGACAAACTACTTCTGAAAATTTAGTTACTGAAAACCTTACAAATAGCAGAGAAACACAGTCAGATATAGCACCGGAAACTGAACCCCTCAGCTTGGAAGGCACTCAAAATGCGACTGAGGAAGAACTGCCTCCTCAAAGTAGAGTTGACCGTGAGCTGACCATGATAACGCAAAGCCCGTGGGACCTTCATTTGCTGATAGGAAACAGCTGTAAACATCCCTTAATATTCAGAACATGGACTGTACCAAGTATGAATCTGGGAAAATTGGAAGTTGTCAAAAGTGGAACTCACTAATGCCTAAGATATCGATTTTTATGAGCTGAAATGGACTGGTATTGGCCATTTTGAATCTGACAACCACATAGTTAACTATGCCTGGAATGACAAATTGAAGAGGAATGGTGTTGCATTCATCATCAAAAAGAACATAAAGAACATATCCAGATCAGTCATGAGGTACAACACTGTCTGTGATAGGATAATATCCATGTGCCTATAGGGAAACCCAGTTAATACCACTATTATTCAAATTTATGTACCAACCACTAAAGCCAGTGAGGATGAAATAAAAGAATTCTATCAACTTCTTCAATCTGAAATCGCAAAGGTTTGCAGCAAAGAGGAAGTATTAGTAGTTGGAAAATATGGCTTCAGTGATAATGATGCTGGAGAACACATGATAGAATTCTGCAAAACCAATGATTTGTTCTTTCAAATACCTTCTCTAGACAGCATAAGAGATGACTATACACATGGATCTCACCAGATGGAATATATAGAAATTAAATTGACTACATCTGCAGAAAGAGGCGATGGAAAAGCTCCATATCATCAGTGAAAATGAAGCCAGGGGCAGACTGTGGAACAGACCATCAATTACTCATCTACAAATTCAAACTGAAGCTGAATAAAATGAAACAAGTCCACAAGAGCAAAGATATGACCTTGAATACATCCCGCCTGAATTTAGAGATCATCTGAATAACAGATTTGATACATTTAAATACTTAAGACTGAAGACCAGAAGAGTTGTGGGATGACATCAAGAACATCATACAGGAAGAAAGCAAAACGTCATTAGAAGACAAGAAAGAAGGAAAAGTTCAAAAAGTTCAAAGTGGATGTCAGAAGAGACAATGAAATTTGCTCTCCAGTGTAGAGATGCTAAAGAAAATGGAAGAAATAAGGTACAAGAGATGAACAGAAAATTTCAAAGGTCAGCTCGAGAAGATAAAGCTATATATTACAACAAAATATGCAAACATCTGGAATCAGAAAACCAAAAAGGAAGGACACGCTCAGCATTTCTCAAGCTGGGGGAACTGAAGAAAAAAATCAAGCCTCGACTTTCATCACTGAAAGATTCTCTGGGAAAATTATTAAAAGATGCAGAAAGCATCAAGAGAAGATGGATGGAATACACAAAGTCATTGTGCCAAAAGGAAATGGTTAATGTTCAACCATTTCAAGAGGTAGCATATGATCAAGAGTCAATGATCCTGAAGGAGGAAGTCCAAGGTGCATTGAAGGAACTGGCAAAGAACAAGGCACCAGGAACTGATGGAAGAAACATTGAAATCCTTCAAGAAAATAAGGCGGCACTCACTCATCTCTGCCAAGAAATTTTGAAGACAACTATCTGGCCGACTGATAGGAAGAAATCCATATTTGTGTCCATCCCAAAGAGAGGTGACCCAACAGAATGCAAAAATCATTGGACAATCTCTGATACCCCATGAGAGTAAAGTTTTACTAAAGGTAATACAGAAATGGCAACAATCATACATTGACAGAGAACTTCCAGAGGTTCAAGCCGGATTCAGAGGAGGCCGTGGAAAGAGGGATATATCATTGCTGATGTCCAATGGATGTTGGCTGAAAGCAGAGAATATGAGAAAGATGTTTACCCTGTGCTTTATTGACTATGCAAAGGCTTTCGGTTGTGTGTGTCATGGCAAGCTATGGCCAACATTGTGAAGTATGAGTATTCCGGACCACTTACCTGTGCTCATGAGGAATCTGTAC